ATAACTGTAATTATCATTATCATAATTAATATTATTACCATCATTTTTTTTTTTTGTTCTTCTCCATTGGTACGATGATGAATAATATCGTTTGAATTTAGACTCGCGTCGAATCGCTGAAGTTTATCATTAATTAGTTACGCCGTGCGCGCTATACTCTATCTATCGCTACAACTATCACTACTATCCAATCTATTCTACCACCTCTATACTATTCTATTACTATTACTATACTATTGCTATCCACTACGAGTAACTACTACGAACTCTGTCAAAGCTGTTGTCGATTGTAATCATTCAAAAATGAAAGAGAGACGGACATTCGAAGTTTATTCACAAGCTAGTTAGAACGTACCGATGAATGCACGTAAAACGAAAAAAAAAAAAAATAATAATAATAAAGTTGATACAAGAGACGAAAAATATAAAAATTCATATGCGTAAAAGCGATTTTTTAAGCGAAAGGGGCGCTCAAACCAATGTCGCGCGCAGCTTCGCTCCGTGTTCGGCATATGAATATACAGTGGGTTTTAGCTGCGTGCGATCGATCTCATTGAACGTTAACTTCGCAAACCCTATTAAATCAATATACCTGCACACACCATGTACACACACTGTATACGAAATAATCAAAGCTGACATTCATGCACAGAGACACACACATACATGATATAAAACACATACACTTCCATTCGATCCTGCATAAGTTTTACGGAGTGATCAAATGAGATGAGCGAAACGCGTGCGTTTTACGTATATTTAAAAGGAGATCTGTACCACCGATCGCTCGTCGTCTTCGTCGTCGTCTCTTAGCTGGCAACAGCGAGTGCTAGTCTTGTGTTTTTTCTACTTGTGTATCTGTTATCAAATTCATGTACCCTATCGTGAAAAGAAAAAAAAAAAAAAAAAAAAAAAAAATATTTCTCACGTTCGTAGCGTTTAAGAGCGCCTATAAAAATAATATGCAAATTTATAAGAGTTTCACGATACGCGCGCATCTCCCGTAGAGAGACGACGAGAGGACGAAAAAAAAAAAAAAAAAAAAAAAGATATTACATAGTGCGAGTAACGTTGACAATGAGAGAAAATGTAATCACAATAAAATGCTACATCTTAGCGAGTAAGGCGAAAAATTGTAAAAAAAGAAAAAAAGAAAAAAATGAAAATCGAGAAAATTGCTTTGGGGGTGGACAGAACGTTCAAGTTGGCTCTCTCGCCGGTTGCACAGAATAATTTCTATCGTTAGAGAGCGTTTGCGCTCCTTTTGTTGGCTTTTTTTTTACAATGTGTTGATCGTGTCCCTCCTCTCCCTTTATATTTTTTCTCTTCTCTTTCGAACATCTTTGCAACTCTTTTACTACCGTTTCTGTTTTCATATTAAGTTGTTTGATTTCGACTAGGCTGTGATTCGACTGTGCGGAGATTATTGATTGTGTTTAACGTAGTGGGGTATAAACTTTATCTCTGTAACGATAGATATTTTTTCTCTCATTTCTGTGTAAGGTCAGATCGTCACTGTTGCAGCTGGAGAGAGACCTTTTCTCGGTACTAAAAAAAAAACCCCGAGAAAACGTCGTTCCAAACTTGCTTCTGTCCGCGCGATGATTATCAATATGATCAACATGTAATGGCTTTTTTGTACTATAATAATATTCTTTTTCTTTTTTTTTTTTTTTTACGATTTTAATTTTATTAATCGAGGCGACTATACGAAGATAGTGACTGTTCTGTCCATCCTTACATTATAATTATATATTACGTGTAAATTTAAGAGTAACCACATGCGCTAAAACAAATTTAAGGGAAACGAATAAAATAAAATTATCAAATAAAGAAAAACAAACATGTCGAGAATAAATTAAAATTTTTAAGGCCCAGGAGAGCAAAAATGATACTCGTGGAATGCGTGCGTGTGTACAGTGTAAGAGAGATGCGTTGTGCATATGTACAGTGTAGAACTTAAAAATCAGAAAAAAAAAAAAAATAACAAGAAACGTCGGCGATAAGTTCAAGAGAGCGAAAGAAAAAAAAAAAAATTTAATCGAGTGGATGCAGTATACGGCAGTGTGAGTGTGCTTCGGTGAGAATGAGCAATTAAAAAGGAGTATCATGATTACGTTTATAAAATAAGTGTGTGGGCCGAACGTCACATATACACTGCGATGCGTTTTTCCCCGTATACGCGCGCGAAAAAACAAATTTAACTTGCATATACAGTTGTATGTGTAATTTATATGCGCGTACATATATAATATTTATTGTACGTACATGTAAGTAAAATTGTAAATCTATGTATTGCAATTTATACTCGAAATGCCTGTTTCACAAATTTTTTTTTTTTTCGTTTCTTCATCAAAGTCTCGTACTAATATTTAAAATTGAATAATCATACAGGCGCTCGCACGAGAATAAATTGACGAGTTATATTATACATACAAATATCAAATAATCACGAACGAAAAGCAGTGTATGTGTCCGTTGCTGCTCATTCATCTTGTAATATATCTGTGAATATTATCATTTAGTTTCTTCCTACACTTAGGCTAATGGTATAAAAAAAAAAAAGAGTTATGTTAATAAGTAAGGAGAATGTACAGATATCTCTTTTTGTTTTGTGTTTTACTGTAGCTATATTGATAATTATATGGATATTAACGATAATAATAACTATGATTAAAAAATATTTCTGAGCATTTATATTTTTCACATCCTCCTTCCAGACCGAATATACTTACTAAATTTTAAATAATATTCTAAGTGTCATTCGTTATAATCATTGAAATCTTGAAAATAATTTTAAAAATTAAAACAATTTTTCTAAAAATTACCAAGTACACATTTATTTATACACTTTTGTTCAAAGTTACGTAAAGAATCTTAATCAATTTTTGTATTTTGGAAAATCACAAAAAAAAAACAAATTTCAACTTTCAAGAAGTGGTGGCAGCACTGTACAGTTAACATCTCTCGTGGCGGGGAGAGGGACGTCGACTTCTGCTCGCAAGTGATCGTTGTGGCTCTTTTTCTCGAGCAAAGATGGTGAGTTAGTCGTTGAAAAACTTATGTGAAAAATCTCAATAAATCAAACGAATCCTCAAAAAACAAGTGCGCGGCTCCGTTTTATAAGAAAAATGAATAATTCGTTGACAGTTGAATCGCATTATTTTTCGCGACTCGTCTAATCTCGATTTTGTTTTAATATCCGATTGTTATCCGATTGTTTCCTAACCTAATCGCACGTTGTCAACACACAACAGAAACAGTTTTTTTTCAAGATGTTTTTGTCGATTGCAGGACGCAAAGAAGGCCACTCCCAAGGCAGCTGGTGCTGTAAAAAAAACGAAGAAGGAGCCCAAAGATTCCTCAAAAAATGTCATGCGGGAGGTGAAGATTCGCAAACTCTGCCTGAATATCTGCGTCGGAGAATCCGGTGACAGACTGACTCGTGCCGCAAAAGTAAGTCTATTTTGTTACATTGCTGTTGTTCAATGTATGCTCCTAACTGTAATTTTGCAATTGTTTAAAAGGTACTTGAACAGTTGACCGGTCAACAGCCAGTTTTCTCAAAAGCAAGGTATACCGTCCGGTCTTTCGGTATCCGAAGAAACGAAAAGATCGCCGTTCACTGCACAGTCCGCGAAGCTAAAGCGGAAGAAATCTTAGAAAGAGGTTTAAAAGTGAGTTGAAACTCGAGTGTGCCTACCCTATTTGATGTTTAGACTCGGTAATATCTATTTGTTGTCATTCTAGGTTCGTGAATACGAGTTGCGTAAAGAGAACTTCTCGGGTACTGGAAACTTTGGTTTTGGAATCCAGGAGCACATTGATCTAGGTATCAAATACGACCCATCCATTGGTATATATGGTTTGGACTTCTACGTCGTTCTTGGTCGCCCAGGTAAGATCGTTAACACTCATTTGTTCTACTCTATGCACGTTATCTGGTATCATAGATGTTGTTGTCGAAGGCAGGGTCTATAGTTTTTTTTTTAACATGTGCAAAATGAATAGCTTCTTATTTGCAACCCATGCCCACCTACTATACTGGGTGTGTTACTTAATGGAAGCGACACTGTTCTTTTTAACTTCAATATTCGATTGTACCTTTTCTCATCAAATATTTATTTTACAAGATATAAATTTTCTATTGCAGGATTCAACGTAGCTCACAGGAGAAGGAAAACTGGCAAAGTCGGATTCCAGCATAGGTTAACAAAAGAAGATGCCATGAAATGGTTCCAACAAAAATACGATGGAATCATATTATCTGGTAAAAAGTAATTTACGATTTTTTTGTATTTTACAAGAAAAAAAATTATGTTAATAATAAAAACAAAAAAAAAAGAACAAAACAATTGAATTCCTTATTTGTTTGAGGGTGATTAATCATAATACAAAAGTTACAAAACCTTTTCTTTTTATTTAATTTACAATAAGAAATAACTTTGTAAGATTTAACTCAAGCACGTGCTAAGCAGTGGAGTAAAAAAATCACAATTTTTTAGTTTCACAAAAATAAATTACAAAACATTTTGTCAATTAGCTACAAATATAAAAGCGTGAAAGCTGTAAAACTAGTACAACTATTCTTTTAAAACACTCGCATCTCTGATTTGAATTTAAATTCAAATCAATAAGGCAGGAACTCTTGCATTACAGCAATATATTACAAATCAAAATTATCACCTGGTAGAAATCATAGTTGAATGTTACTTAGTAAACTTGGAACACATTGTTTAACAGAGATAAACTGAATTAATGGACGCCTATATGTGCTATTTTAAAGTGAAAAAATCAAATTATTGACAATAAGTATAAATCAGAAAAATTAGTAATAAGGGAACTATGTCCACTTGAACAGTTTAGCAAAGCTCGTCGACATTTTTTATCAGTCTCTTAAGAATTGTATCTGGACACGTCACTCTTAGGTACATCAACTTAATATTAAAAATCTTTGACATTTATGACTATATCGTGCTAAAGTTTTGAAATTTGTCATTCATATCCAGTAATATTACGAGAGATGATGCACATTAGATATGAATAATAGTGTACTTCGATTTCATTGTCTAACGCATGAATTTTAAATTAACGAAACAGATTTTGTAATTTAACGCTTCTTCTCAGTAAATTTGAAATGTAGTCCGTCCTAGTAAATTTGATATAGCGTATTCTATGTTGATACTATTACACATTGATATGTGTAATATGAAATCTCAAAACTTTAGTTGATTATCTCTAAAAAATTTATCAAGACTTGAATAAATAAACTTACTGGTAAAAACAATTTTTTGGGTGATGCTTTCACTAAAATGTCCGTACAATTGGATTTTAAATCCATTGACGAAACATTTACGTCCGTATTTTACTTTTACTGCTACTAATCTAAAACTTTTGTAGTAATCATTTTGAAATATTTTTTTTGCTAGTAGAGATGCAGAGTTTTTGTTTGTTTTGTCATCGTTCAAGTTACATTTTAACTCACTTCATTTTCGTCCATGAAATTGTTTTTCAAAGTTTGGACAGCTTATTTCGACAAAAACTGAATTAATTCAATCGCAAGACGACGGATACAATAAATGAAACTTTTACACCCATAAAACATAGTAACTATTTGTCATTACATAAAATAAAATTTGTTCAAAACAAAAACATGTATTTTTCGCGACGCATCATACTAGCTACACTTGTTTGAAAGCTTTTTTAAAGGCAAAATACTTTTACTTCCTAATCGACCCATATGCCTTATCAATATTAAGTTTTTCTGCATCTGTAAAACCTAAAATACTTTCGATAGCCTTCAAATGTCCATGAAGATTTTCCTTATCGGTAAGGAAATAATACACAGCTGACTTGAGGAATTGAAGTTTGGTTGTATCCGTGATTTCAGGGTCTTGTACTTGATTTCTGGAGTCCACAAGACGCCTGTACAAGGCCTGAATAAAAAGTAAATTGTTATAATACAAAAAATTAAATAAACGAAAGATTGCAAAATTTCATGAAGACACAGAAATATGGTGATAGTCAATTAAGCAGCGTGTACCAAATAAAGCTCAACTGTGCTGAAGCTTAGAATCACCAAGATCCATGGAGAAATAAAGAGGCTGTTTCTTCTACGTATGTGTATGCTACGAGTTCATCAGTAAATACAATAATTTTATTTACGTAAGATCCGTGCAATGGAAAATTATGTGCAAACTGAAAAACTAATTTTTAAGTCGTTCTGTATATTTTTGAAATGTAATATAACCATCTACAACGTAATTATAAAATCAATTTACTACTTAAATTAAAATACAGCAAAATATTGAAAAAAAGAAAAAAATAAACAAAAGACAGTAATAAAGTATAATTCATCGTGCACTTTTTATATCAATTTTCTAGACGAAAAACCTATTCAGATACTCTATTAAACCAACTAATTCGATTTAAACCGTTGAAAACCACACAAAACAAGAACTGAATTGTATTTGTTGACCAGGGACAATCGAAATAGCATGTTTTTCATCACATTTCGCCTGGAATGTTGATATATGACATATGTACAAAGTATAAAATCAAACTTAACAATAACAACAACGAGCCAAAGTCACGTGGCAGAGTTGAGTAATGGTTACAATACCTTACGCGTAACAAGGATGTAAAGCGAAACAGCCTCTGAAACTGTTAATAAGCTTTGGCAACGACTAGCCAAAGCTAAAAGTTCGGCCGCACAGCTTGATTGATCCTGCTGTGCCTGGAGTCGTGTGAGATGCAAGAGCGTTGGCCAAAAACAGTGGAATCGTCATTAGTTGTTTGTGTGTGGTGTTAGACAAAAGTTGGACAAAAAAAAAAAAAAAAAAAAAAAACGAGGAAAGGTTAAAAAACAGATATAATTTTGCGGATGACATGTGGTAAGTAGCGTGTCTACCGAGATAAAACGATGTTGTTATTTTACAAGTGTTGAAACGAGAGAGGAAGAAGGGAACAAAAGGACCAACTGTTCTTACTTTTGTGTACTCCAACTCGGCTTCCGTGATGGATAACTTCTTCAAAAGCTCAGGTACCGTGATCGCGTCAGGATTATTTGGATCTGTCTCCGACACCTATAAAAATACCAATTAAGTATAACGTAACTACATTATACAAATTTATTTTCACGACGCATCCAAACCAACAGCTCCCACCTGGTTACTGGGCTGTTCCTGCTGGTCTACTACGCAATTGGTCTCCTGGCTTTTGGCATACATCTTCAGGTACATGTTTTTAACGCGCTCCTCCTGCTCGGCCAGCTGAGTTTTGAGCTGCTCAAGCTGGGCCCGCAGCTCGACCACCTCCTTCTCGGCCTGGCGCCTCGCCGTCGACTCCTGCTCGAGCCTCGGGACGGCCTCGAAGTAGCGCGTGCTCATCTCCGACAGCTGGTTCAGGAGGGCCTCGACCCTGTCGTTGTGGTTCTGCTTGAGCTCTTGGATATCCTCGAGCTCCCGGAGTCGCCGCCGGTACTGCGGACTACCCTCGCCGAGAAGACCGCTCTCTCTGTACTGGGCCGTCGTCGAGGACGTAGAAGACGCCGCGTCGAAATGGCCCGAGTCGACGAGCGAGGACGAGGACACCGCGACAGCCGCCGCTTCGCTGTTCACCATCTGACCCACTTGCTCCTTGGAATCGTCAGGCTGCGCGAGACCACCACCGTCGACGCTCTCGTGTTCCTCTTCCTCCCGCTGCTGCTGTTTCTGGGACTCTGTCTTGTACAGGCGCAACTCGACCAGCTCCATGGTCAACTGGGAGATCTGGCTGTTTTTCTCGTCGAGCTCCTTGCGAGCCTGGCGCAGTTGGCTCTGGACGTGGCGCACCTCCTGCGTGGCTCGCTGAGTCGGGGTCCTTAGAACAAAGAGTAGATTTATCCGTCATTCAACTACTTATATTTCGTCGGCAATGATGGGCGATACATACCGATACTCGCCGGGCTGGGTTGGCAGACTACCCGCGCAGTAGTGAAGGTAACCGCGCGATCCATAAGTCGAGCCGTTGAGGGCAAAGTTCGGGTGGTCGCAGTGTAAGCCGCCGCTCGTGCTGCACAAGCTCCTGACGCTATCGGAATCGCTAAACTCATCGCCGGCTCCTCTGCCGGTGCTACGCCGATTTCGCAGTGGCGTCAGCGACAGGCTCTGATATTCAATGATTTATCATTGTACGGCGAAAAACGTCATATTTTTGCCTATACATCGTCGTGCTAACGCTCGAAACGATATAGATCGCGAAAAAACCATTTAAATTAAAAAACCATTTCGAAGATACATATGATTCGATTGATTTTTCTCCGTAAATAGCGTGCATCGTGTAAAAATACACGTGTATATCGACATGTTGTTTACCACTTTATTGATTTTTTTTTGCATGCGAGAAAAAAAAAAAAAAAAAAACCTGCAAGTTGATGTATCAACTTTGGTAGGTAATTGTTTTTTAACTTATATAAATACTGGGAATCGAAACAAAAATAATGTGATTGTCAAAATTCTCATATCGACCAGCACACTCGCATTAAACGGGCATCGTCTCACTTGACATCAATTTAATAAGTAGCGGTGCCTGCAAGCTCGTGCGGCTATAGCTATACGTGCATATAATATATAGGTATGTATTTGCGCCACAGGTATATAATTTCTTTGTGCGGCAAATAGATCCATACCATGTAAATGCATACGTGTGTATGTATGGATCTACACATGTAAAGACTGTGTATTAATTTTTGTTTTTCCACAAGAGCAGCAAAAGATGTAAGTATCAGAGCAAAATTACACATAAAAATTGAAGCGCCAGAAAAGAGGCAATAAACGACATGTAGATTCCCATATCGAGGAAGAATGAAAAAAAGGAGGAATTATAAAATGCAGTGCAAGGTCAATGAATCGAAATGCGTCGCGGTGTTGTTTTACGGCGCGAACTGGGCCGCGTTTACGTGAGCATTCTTATATCGAGGTGCACATCATAAAATATACCCATATACACTATATACAGTGAAAAAGGGGTGATGTACATAGCGAATAGCTTGTGCCGTTATAATATATAAAGTAGCGCGTGCATGCACACGCGATATGCGAGTATACAAGAGAGAAAAAGCAACCGAATTCGTTGTCGATTAATATTTATGCACGTATGATTATGTATACCGATGGACAGCTGTGCGAATTCCCGTTGTTGCCGTTGCTGCTCGTGTGATCCATAAGAGTTAAACAACAACAAAGGGGGGACGAAGCAAATGGTGCGCGGCCGCGCGACAATTTAACCGCGCCGTACTAAAGTGACACTTTGCAAGCTCGGCGACTGCACGGACGAGTCGAGCTTTGCAACTGCGGCGCGTAGCATGCATAAATGTGAGAGCTTCAGGAGTGAAAGTAGCGCGAAACGAGTGCGCCGACGCGCGTATACAATGTTGGTCCGCAAAGCTTTGAAAGAAAAGTCATGCTTGTGAATTTATTTTATTTTATATTTTAATTGATAACAAAGGGTCTCACCGAGTTGGATCTCCGGATGGGTGTGGGTGGGGTGCGGTGGTTGGCGTTGGAGTTTTCGGCGATGATAGGGAAGAGCTCGGTCGCTTTGGGGGTTCTCTGGCTCCCGGTGCGTCGGAGGGGCGACGGTGAGGTCAGAGGCGAGAACCGGGGGATCCGCGACTCCAGCGGGGACGTTGGCGAAAGCGGCGACGCTCCACCCGGGCGCGCCATCCTCTTCCGGGTGATGCTCTTTTGCTTTGTTGTTCTCTGGTAACTGTTTTTTAGCTCGTTACGGTCTCTCGATCACCACCGTTTTCGCGACATCGCTGTGGCTCCGCTTGCGTTGTTTTTTCCCTTTTTCTTCGTCTTGTCGTTCGGTGGACTCTGGATGGAGTGAGACTGAAGACAAAAGGAAAGATTAAAAACGCGAATCGTTATTTGGAAAAATTTTACTACGTCAATTGCAATCCTATCGTTTTTATACATATATTTCTATGCAGCGTCGATGTGCGCTTGATTTATGTTATACTTGTGTAGGTTTGAGAAGAGGAAACTAAAGGGCTTCTAATTCGACGAATCTAATTCGTGTCAATCTTTTTGTCTTTTTGTTTTTTCGTCGCGGGAATACAACCAGATCCATACTTTGCGATTACACTGAGAAGCAAACCAACATACGTATATATGTATGGTCGTTGAAGTTGAATTGCTTGCAAGATAATATAATAATTGTAAAATTACGTATTGCGATAACTGTTCTAATCAATCGATATATTTGTATGCGTTACATGAATTTTAATTGGAAAAGATATTGAAACTATCCGCAACGAAAAATAAAAAGTCACGAGGAAAACGGTACAAAATAAACGGGCTAAGATTAAAATAGTGATGACTCTTTGAACTTAGTCCGTAAATAATAAAAGTTTAAAGTTTATCGATCGCTCTATTTACGGTTCTCAAAGAAACGATACCGTATTTTATTTTGTTTTAATTTTGTATGGCCGTTAAAATTTTCATAGGATCACACCTTTCACAAAACTACTTTTGATATTTTCGTCAAATTTATTTATTTGATTACCTATAGAGTTGAAAATATTTTATTTGACGATTAACACTCGAATAAATAAGAACTGTGCACTTTTAAAAAACAAGTTGATGTACTTATATACAGAAAAAAAAATTGATTAATTATAAAACTGCAATGTTCCAAGTTTTGTCATTTGAGTATAAGTGCTTATACATATTGTTAAGATCAGCTTCAAGATAAAACTTGTTATTCTGCGCGAGTTTCACGCGCTACATTAATTGACAGTAATTTATCATTATCCAAACATTTGAAACAAACTAGCTGGAAAGTTGTACTAAGATAAAAAAATTGGAGCATCTACTTTTATAGAAAAATAAGAGTTTTATGTTGTACAAACATACAGAAAAAACTTAAAACAAAAAGTGTAGAGGAGTGCCAATTGTTAATAAAAGTCTTAATCATTACCTACACAAATTACTGAAATAACATTTTGAACACTTTCAATGACCTCCTTTTTTCTTCCGAGCAACTAATACTGTTATTAGATTATATTTTTGTAAGCCAATCTGTGAGAAAAGTGATGGGACTACAAGACAGTGATGATAAACATTTTAATTGTAACGACAATAATAATAATGATTATTGTAATATTGATAACGAAGATGACAACAACGATGATCAAAAAAAATTTTTTTACGCAGGAAAAACAAGAAAAAATCATATTTGGAATGACCCCCCTAATTCACTTTATAATACACCTAGATGTATGTACGTTAAATTGATGTTCTTATATCTTGAATGACCCCCCTAATTCAATATAATATACGTAGCTATATATATATATATGTATATATATATGTAGCTATATATATGTATATATACGTAGCTATACATATACATATATATCTTTATAAATGGTGACTCATGCGGACATTATTATGTAATGAAAGGTTATTATGAGGACAAAATCGTACTTATGCGGACTGTCCTCATAACTTTTCAATGTTATAAGTATGTATTCTCAAAGCACGTAATGTCACCTTACGTAGAAATATATATGAACATATCTTCCTTTATAATATAGTTATCTCCATAGGGAATTCTACACAACCTCCCCACAGCCTCCCCCCACAGGCCCATTTACCCCTCACCGCCCCCCCCCACAAAACAAGGTAAAAACCAGTCATGTTCTCCTTTATTTTGACACATTGCCGTTTTTTCCAAGATCCCCCACAGCCCACCACAGCCTCCCAGAATTTTCATTTACCCCTCACCGCCCCCCCCCACAAACCCCCTACAAAATCATATGTATAGTATAAAGGTATAGTATGTCATTATTCAAGCCAGGAGGTACAACCACGTATGGCTTCAAGGGATAATAACAATGTATGTTTTAATATTTAATTAAATAGTTACAGATAAGTGCGCAATACTGTAATCAGCTGAACTTAAATACAATCCATTGTATCTCGATTTATTGGATCCCTTGGTTTCTTTGTAGGCATTAAGTTTTCGGTGGACCGACTTTTTTTGTTAGCATTTTGTAACGTTGCAATTTGCTAGCCCTGTCAATGTGTTAAAGTCTATTACCACATTCCTACCAAATCGCATGGAAATATTGTATAGAATTTTTTCTCAAAACATCCCACATTCTGCCACCTACCCCCTATGTCCCTCTTACTGACCCCCACGAATTTTTTCATGGCCCCCACGGCCTTCCCACACTACTTTTTTGGAACATGACCGTGATCATACCGTCTCTACCTATCTTTGGACAAAACTGTCTTATTGCCATGATTTATTTCATCGTCGAGAAGAAATTGAAAGGCATAAATTGATTTATAGGGGGTTGTTGCGCAAAACATCTTTATTTATATAACTAAGTACGTTTAAAAACCAACTTATATGAAGTTAAGAATATTTCGAAACCAAATAATATATACACATATATTGGTGCACATAATTGTTATATCATCATCACTTATATAGTCCATTATCACACAATTCGTCTTTTAACGTACATAAACTTAAGTTGAATTTAGAGTATCATTAATATAAACAATGGAAGTTTCGCATCACTTTATGAGTCATCTTATAAAGCCTGATGAAACCACGAAGACTTACGTCCATTTCTATTTTGTTTTAAATAAATGCTGGAATTGGTACAGTAGATGAACACGATATACGTTCATGATATGTATTATTAATTAATAACTTCTACCTATACATAAAAATATAATAATTAAATCATGTTATGAATATAAGATACACAATTGTATTCAAAAATTTCTNTAAAAATAAAAATGAAATAGAAATAAAATCTACTTTTATTAAAGTTAGCTAGCAATAAAACACTGAAAATAGACTTAAAAATCGAGGGACAAAAAGTTTTTAATCGCAAAATCCAATATCTGATCAACACAGATAGATTCGCTGATACTACGTACATACATCATATTATATATCTGAGCATCGAACGTGCTTGCGTAGGTATATACGTGTCGGACAGACGTGTATAAAAAATTTTTTGCGCGTAATACTGGGAGGAGATGCGTGAAATCAACAAATGCACGAATAGTTTACCCAACCAGCTGCAGTGGCTCTTGCAATTAGCGGCGACAACAAGGTTAAGGCTGCACCAGCTGTCAGTTCACCCCTTACTGTGTGTTGTATTTGATATACGTGGTACACGTATTTAAACCCAATTCATTTACAGCTCATCACCCACTTTATTCACTGCCGACTTTTTAATTACTTTTTGCCGAGAGTACTTAAGTATTTTTTCAAACGACAAAAATGATATTAGGATGTGTGATTATTCTTAAATGCGGCAAGCTTTGCCAAGCCAGCTGAACTCTGGATGATAAAGTCTGGATGAGTGTGTTGTGATGTGCGGGAGAGGAGAGAGAGAGAGAGACCTGCACCGTGCGCTCTACGGCGGGCGACTGCAGTCCGTTCAGCTCGACGTATTAATAGCGGAATTTCGTAACCTACAACCACTAACTTGACTTAATTATCCTCAACTCGTGATCGCGATATGCTTTTGATTAAACAGTCACAATCACTTGTTACTTGTAATCAACAAAAAACGGGAGAGTGTGTCTCGGATTTTTAAGTACGTATACGTCTTTGATAGGTGACTCTCGAATCTCATCATCAAAGATTAGATAGCAGGTGTTCCAACTACTTACTTACCTATTCCATTACGAAAAAAATCGCACGGATCGCGTAACGGAGGGCGCGAAATTTTTGCATTTTGAATTCGCGATGTGCGTGAGCGAACAATTCGAATTGTTTAGAAATTTCACTGTATCTTCGCGAAAAATAAAAAAGCTTAAGGGTAAATTGTAACTTCAATTGTACGTAATTTTTATATTTTACTTATACATATATACATTATTATTACAAAATACATGTGTATACTGTATATAAAAAGTAATTCTACACATCACTTAACAGTAGGGCAATTTTTTTTTTAATTTATTTATAATTGTGTATACCTACTTATACTCTAATCCCATTCGTGGATTTTGAGGCACAGCTGTTTCCACAAAAATGGCTGGTCTTGATATCATTTTTACTATTTATAAAACACAATTTGACGGTAAATTTGTAAAAATTGTTATTTCATTTTTCTTCTTATTTTTTGTTTATACTATTATCAGTATCGCGTCGTTCAGTTCTTAGATATTTAATTAAATTGTAAAATTTTTGTATCACAGTGTTTTATAAGTTTTCGACTAACTCCATCTTAAACTCTTCACACGCTTAAGTATTTACTATTCATAAGTTTACGTAAAAAGTACCAATAAGAAAAAAAAAAAAAAAAAAAAAAAAAAAAAAAAAAAAAAAAAAAAAAAAAAA